AAATTCATGATTTAGAAAACCAAGATCAACCACTAGTCCCAGAGGTGGGTGAGGAGGTCTATCTAGGGAGAGGAAAATCTACATAATGTATAAAGTTTGACTTAGATCACATACATGTATGCCCATAAACTCATTTGTTTAGTTTGATAGGATGAGCCCCCCATTTATCTCATACAGCATTTTGATGATTCTACTATAGGCCACACAGTTTGATGCTTTGATGCTTTACTGCCGCAGTTGTTATCTGGATTTGTTTGTGGGTTCCATGGTTAATTGCATGGTCAAAATAGATGTGGATGGGGGAAATGGGGACAAATCAAAAGCTCCCAAGATGACATGATTCTGCCTTTCTATATAGATATCATATTTTGTAGAAAGAAAACAAAACCAACTAAGTTTCTTTCTACATGAAAACATGATTGTGTAATATAGACTTGTAGTTAGAAACAATGTTTGGTTTTGAACCACACAATCTTTTTTGATCATGGTCCTTGCTATTTCCCAATCCTAAGTACACGTAGCAAAACCTTATTTTTAGCCTTTTACCTTAATAAGTTTGTAGGTTTTAGTGTTTTATCTTATATTATTATATTTTTAACTTATTCCCTTTTACAAATTGAAAAAAATAACCCTTCACCTTTATGAATTAAAAAAAATAACCCTTATTTAATGTTAGTTTATAATGTTCGTTAATTGACTGTTAACATTCATTTAGCTTTATTCCTGTTGTCATTAATAATCTGTCAACTGATTGTTAATATTTCGTTAACAATCAGTTAATGAACATTATAATCCCACGTTAAATAAGGGTTTTTTTTTTTTTTTCAATTCTTATTGGTGAGGGGTTAAAAGTGTTATAGTAGAAGTTTAGGGACTAAAACCTACAAATTTATTAAAGTAAAGGACTAAAAGTAGGTTTTTGCTAGTACATCTTTGGAAAAGTGATAGTGAATGCATGATTGGTTAATAATGTTTTGTTGATAACAAATCATAATAAGTAAGTATATGAATAATAATAAATGGATGAAAAATTTGTAATCAATAATATAGTATAAGTTATATCATTTAAAATATTAAAAATAGATTTTATATTATTTAATGATTGACTCATTTTATTTTTTTAAAACCTAAAATATTGTATATATCAACTAATTTAATAACATGGCATACGCCATGTCATTGGTATCAAATTTTCATCATCCCTATTATTACTCTAAATATATATATTGGTTTGTGATTTTTTATAAGTGAAATAAACTAATAAAAATTATTGCCACTTGATGTGAGAAACAATATTGGAGCTTAATAAACATGCAAATAACTGATGATATCATCACTTTGTTTTCAAATTGGATATCAAAATTAGTTTGGAATATCATTTAATGCAAGATATTTTTTCACTACTTTAGTTATAGCACCTCACAAGATTTTAAATTGAGTTTCGAGGATATTTTTTAATTAGTATAAAAATTAAAAACTTAATTTTACACTTTGATTATATAATTTTATATATTTTAATTTACTATTTAACGCTTGATTTTATAGATATTTGAATAAATTGAATATATAAATATGATTCTATTGAAAGTTATATAATTTTTATTATTTGTGCAAAAAAAATGATCAAAAAGCTTGAATTTAGAAATTCTGAGATTTAAGTGAATTTCTTTTAAAATTTTGGGAACCAAATTGTAATAAAAAAAGTTGAAATTGGGGATTAAATTGAATAAATTTAAATTTTGAGGATTAAAGTGCACAAGAACTAAAGTTAGGGAGTCAACTGTGTTAGTTTATTACCATTAAAATTTGAAGGATCCGTTAATTATTTTATACTTCCTTCCTTTAATTTAAATATATCTAGTTTTTTATTTGGAGTATTTAAATTTAATTAATTATTTAAGTTATTATTTAATATGTTTATTTTTATT